TGGATTCCCAGAAAGGAAGAGAAAAAACACATGATCATCTCAAGTGACCTGGAAAAACCCTTTTTAAATGGAACAGCTTTTCCTGATTTAAAAAAAAAAAAAAACCTCAGTAAACTAGGAATAGAGGGAAACTATTTCAACATAATTGAGTCCATATCTGAGAAGCCACCACCAATGTCCTACTTGATGGTGACAGGCAGAAGGCATCGGAAGTCCTAGATAGAGAACTCAGTGCCCAAAGGGATTGAAACCAGAGAAAGGGGTGCAGCTATCTCTGTTCGTAGCTGCTACAGTCTTTGGTCTGGGAAACCCTAAAGGGCCCACATACAAATTTTTAGAACCAATAAAATACTTTACAAAATCAATCCCAGAAAGTCAGTAGTACAGCTCTTAGGCCTGGGCTCCACCCTCAGTGGAACAAAAGCCTGTTGTGCTGCTGTACACCAGCCCCAGATGGTTGGGAAAGGGAATTAAGAAGACTATTATTTCATTTACAATAGTTAAAAGAAAAAAAAAATCAAGGAAGTGAAAGATTTGCCCAGCTAAAAAACCAGAACACATCACTAAAAGATGCTGGCAAAGATGGAAATAAAGAGTGAGACACCCTGTGCTCTGGAGTCAGAAAGCTTTGTACTGTTAGATGTGGGCTGTACCCCACTGAGCTACAGATTCAATGCAGTCGCTAGCGAAACTCAAAGGACCCAGAATGGCCAGACTAAACTTGAAACACAAGAAGAATAAAGTTGGAGCACTCAAGTTTACTGATTTCAAAATTTGCTATGAAGAAGCCAGACATAGTGGTGCAGGTGCAAGCCTGTGATTTTTTCATTCTGAGAGGCTGAGGCAGGAGGACTGCAGATTCCAGACTCACCTGAAGACTTAACAACTTAGAGTCCCTGTCTCAAATTTAAAAAGGGTGAGGGATGCAATTTAGAGGAAAGGCATGGGATTCAATCTCCAGTAGCTAACACACACACACACACACACACACACACACACACACACACACGGAAAGAAAGAAAAATAGAAATAAAAGAATACTAGGAGGTTACATTATACAGCACAGCATGGCGCTAGCATGAAGCAGACTGACCGGAGGACTGGAACAGAGTCCAGAACTAACACCTGCACATTATTTTTGACAAGGGCACAAGGATCCCTCAGTGGAGATGGGACGGTCTTTTCAATCAGTGCTGCTGGGGAAGTCGGACATTCACATGAAAAAGAATGATTTCTACCCTTGACCAAGAATATCTCAAGGACTGGGAGATAGCTTAGTGGCAAAAGCACCTGCCTGGCAAGTGCAAGGTCCTGAGTTCAATCCCCAGTACCATCAAAAAAAAAAAAAAGAAGAAGAAGAAGAAGAAGAATATCTCAAAGCTGGGCATGGTAGGGCATGCCTGTAATCCCAGTACTTGGGAGCCTGAGACAGGAGGATCACTGTGCGTTTGAGGCCAGCCTGATCGCCCCACCACCACCACCACCAAAAACAAAAACAAAAACTCGGACTACCACCAACAAAAAGAATATTCACAAATAAAGCCAGGCACAGTAAGGAACATCTGCAATCCCAGCTACTCAGGAGGCTGAAGCAGCGAGATCATAAAGTCAAGGCCAACCTGGACAATTTTTTTTAAAGATTTATTTATTTATTTTTATTTTTTTTTTAATTTTTATTTATTTATTTGAGAGAGAGAGAGAGAGAGAGAGAGAGAGAGAGAGAGAGAGAGAGAGACCAGCTCAGCCCACCAGGGGGCGTTCTGGCTGGCATGTGGTGCTGGGGGATTGAACCGCGGTCCCTGATGCTTTTGCTAAGCTTGTTCTAAGTAGGTGCTTTAGACCACTGAGCCATCTCTCCAGCCCAAGATTTATTTATTTATGGGCTGGCCAGATAGTTCAGCGGATTAAAGCACCTGTTTAGGCAGACACAGGGACAGGGGTTCGATCTCTAGTGTGCCATGCGGGCCTCGCCCCTGGGGCGTGTTGAGACAGCAAATGAGACTGGGCATGGTGGTGTGTGCCTATTAATCCCAGAGCTTGGGTGGCTGAAAACAGGAGGATCACTGAGTTTAATCTGTGTAGTGAGATCCTGTAGACACTGTACTAATACTTTAAAAACAAAAATTAGAGGGTATCACTATGCAGCCCGGACTCATAGCGATGGATCCTCCTGTGTCAGCCTCCCCAGCGCTGGGATTACAGGCCTGCGCCACCACGCCCACCCCTGAGCTATCTCCCGGCCCCACCCCAATCTGGACTACTTAGTCCGACACTGCCATTCTCTTCCAGACTTTCTCTCTCTCTCTCTCTCTCTCTCTCTCTCTCTCTCTCCCTCTTCCTGCCTTCTCTTCCTTCTTCCTTCCCTCCTCTCTCCATTTAGAGAATCCACACTGTCCACACGGCAGCTCTGGTTCTCCTACGCAGCTAATTCTTCACAGTTAGCACCCAGGAATACGAACCAGGCTCAACCCGAACAGATGTGCAGGTCGAGGCGCGTCGTTCCACGACAGGGATCTGCGGCTCTCAGCAGCAGCTTTCCAGCCCCAGGCCGGGCGCAGCCTCGCGCGCCGCCGCCGGGTGTTCCGCGGCCGTCCGACAGGGGGCAGGAGCGCGCCGCGCGCGGGCGGGGACTCACCTGGCTCACGTTCTCGCAGTCCAGCAGCTTCCGGCCGAACACCACGCTGCCGCCGTACGCCATGCCCACATTGTTCACTGCGCGAGAGGTCGCACGGTGTCCCTCACAGGCCGGGGACACTGGGGAGGGGGGGGGGGAGGACGGAGAAGCAGGCAGGCCACTCACCCAGGACTCCGATCTCCAGGCCGCGCAGTCCTTCCTCGATGGCGCTGTAAATCTCCAAGCCCCTGGTGAAGTCCGCTTGGATGATGCGCGTGGACCTGCCATAAAGCCGCTCTGGAGGACGCGAGCGGGGTCAGGCCCTGTCCCTGAACCTGACCGGCCCCGGGGCACCCAGCAGCCGCCCCACACCCTGCGTGAGCCAGAGGTTCAACGAGGGCGAGCGCTCACCGATCTCCTCCGCCTCTTGCTCCAACTTGCTGAGGCTCCTACTGATGAGGACCACGTTCAGCCCCCTCCTGGCCAGCTGCGAAAATTCATTCACTTACTCAGCACCCCCCCAGCACCCCACCACCACCACCACGCCGGGGATTGAACCTAGGGTCTCTGGTGCCGAGCTACATTATCAGCCCCCTTGCTTTTTTGTTGTGTTGTTGTTCCAGTCAGAGATCTCAGTCATCCAGGCCTGATTTCACTTTGCCCCCCTCCTGCCTCAGCCTCCCAGAATGCTGGGCTTGCAGGCATGTGCAACCACACTGTATGTAGTCATTCTCCGGCCAACCAAGATTAACCACGTCCTGACCTTGACACTCAGCGTTCCAGCCCTGTGGTCGCAGAAGGGGACATGGGAGATGATGAACTGGGGGATGAGGAGGAAGCTCCAGGGAGAGAGCCCGCCCCAAGAGCAGTGGGCAGACTGAGGACATGACTGTTTCGGCCCTCAAGGGCCCACAGGGCGCCAGGAGGCTCTGCTCCTGACCACTGCGGCACTGCTCCTGCCTGTTCTTTCTCATTCCCATGTGCTGCAGGACCCAGGATTGTAACACCCCAGGCTCAGCCCCTGCTGTGCACCCTCCACCCTACCACGGAGGTCTCACTGCAAAGCACAAACCCAACCCTGCCCCTCCTGCCACAACCTGCCCCAGCTCCCCAGGGATCCTGAGACAAACCAGTGGGCTTCAGCTGCATCCCCTGCCGGGTCCTGCGAGAGGCCAGGCACAGCAATTATTCACCTGGCCCCAAACAGCATCCCCTGAGCTTTCTGCTCCAGGGCCTTGGCACATGCTCTTCTGCCCTGCAGCCCCTTGCCCTTGATGCTGAGTCAGCAAGCACACATATTTCGCAAGCACACATATTTGGGGGGTGGGTGTTCAGCAGCATCTCAGTGCCTGTCTGTCCCTCTCAACCTAGACGCTACAGGTGACCTGAGAGGTGATGCTGAAAGTGGCATTCTTTCATTCTTTCATTCACTCATCAAACATGTTGCCCAGCATCCACTTAGTGACTGGCACTGGCCAGGACAGCCCCAGCCTTGCCTTGTTGGCCTCAGAGTGCAGTGGCAGTGGGTGGGACACACTTGTCCCCAGTGATGGCACAGAGTGGTTGGAGCTACTGACCAACTTACTAAATCTCCCTGTGGCTGTCACCCTTCCTCTTGTAACTCAACTGCCTTTCCATTCTTACCAGTTCCAGGACGGTGCTCTAGCTGGTCTCCTGTCCTCCCTGTGCACCACGGCCCTCTGTCTAGGTCATTCTCATTAGCATAGGAACCTACCCGTGTCTTCCTTGTCACTCAGCATTCCAGCAAAAGGTTCTCTGTCCTCACTCTCCTCCTTCAATAGCTCCCTGCCACGGGGACTTGTTTCACCATAATCAGCCATTCAGACATTCAGAGGCTGCTACAGCTGTGGTCCAAGGGAGGCAGGCTACTGCTCAAAATAATTTTAGCATCATCTATAGGGTTATAGGTGCATGGAGAATGAGTTGTGGGGTCAGAGAAGCTTCTACGTAGCTTTCAAAGGACTACCAGGGAGGCCATGCAGTGAGCCCCTAAGGGGCAGTGTACGAAGCCGTAGGAATGAAGTGGAGATCCAGAGAGTTGAGACATCTTGTGGGTACGTGGAATGGGAACGTACAACATCTCCCTGAGCAGGAACCAACCTGCGAGTGGCTATGTGGGCTACAATCCCTTGAATTCACATCTCAAAACTATATGCCGGGGCTGGAGAGATGGCTCAGTGGTCTAAAGCACCTACTTAGAACAAGCTTGGCAAAGCACAGGGACCGCGGTTCGATCCCCCAGCACCACATGCCAGCCAGCCCCGCCCCCTGGTGGGCTGAGCTGGCCACACACACACAATAAATAAATGTAAAAAATAAATAAATAAACAGCAGAATATATTAAAAACAAAACAAAACAAAACAAAACAAAAAAACACTATATGCCCCAGACTCCAACTGTAAAGATCCAGGACTTAAGGTTTGCCCTGATCAGTTTTGGTCTTGCTTTGGTCTGATTTAAAAAAAAAAAAAAAAAATCATGGGCTGGCAAGATATCTCAGCAGACTAAGTACCTGCTTAGGCAAGTGCAGGTAGCGGGGTTTGATCCCTGGCACCACAGGCTGAACTGGCCCTACCCCGGGTATACTGAGCTGGCCACCAAGATCAGGTGTGGTGGCCCACCCCTGTAATCCCAGCACTGGGGAGGCTGAAAACAGGAGGATCACTATGAATCTGAGCTGGGCAGTGAGACCCCTGTACTAAATGCATAGACAAAGAAAGAAAAAAGAAAAAGAAAAAGAAACCACAAGTCAAATAAGCCTCTCCTCCTTAAAGTTACAGGTGTGAAGTATTTTTGTCCATTAGTGGCAGCCCTACCTAATATAGTCATTGCAGGGGGCCTGCCCCTTAGCTCAGCTCTTTAAGTGGCTGCTTCCACAAAGCAGTCAGGCTCAGGTTGCTGTGGTTCAATCCCCACAACTCAAGCCAGCCAAACCTGCCCTGAAGGCATTCGGAGAAAAAAAAAATCCTCTTAATACAGTCATTGTAGATGAACTCAAAGGACACTAAGTTAAGTACAATCAGCCCGGCACAATCAACTCTGCAGGATCTCATTTCAGTGTGGAGTTGCCTTTATGGCAGTGGTTAACTGAGGCTGAATGTTGAGGAGAGGAGCAGAAATGTTGGTCAGTAGATAAGAAGTTTCAGTTAGGAGGAATAAATTCTACAGTTCTATTGCATGTGACGAAAGCTAATAAAAGTGTATTGCATTCTTGGGAAGAGTAGAGATGGTAGCCGGGCATGGTGGTGCTAGCTGGTGATCTCAGCACTCAAAAGGCTGAGGCAAGAGGATCCTTTGGAGTTCCAGACCAGCCTGGGCCACAAAGTGAGCTCAAGTTCAGCCTGAACCGCATACAGAGACCCTGTCTCAAGAAGACAAAAAGAAAGGGGGGGGGGAGGAAAAAGAGGAGAGGAGAGAGAGGAGGGGAGAGAGGAGGAGGGAGGGGAGGGGAGAGGAGAGGAGAGAAGAGTTATTAGCTGTGGTCATCAGAAAGAGAGACAGACAGACACACAGACAGACACACAGACAGTAAGCCACAGACATGGATCAATGTAATTTACTAAAGAAAAACAGCACAATCATCTCACAAGATGCAGAAAAATGATTTCAAAAAAGTCTGCCTCCATTCCTAATGAAAACTCTCAGTAAGCTAGGTATAGAAGGGACCTTGATTCCTTGTCAGTTTGAGAAGATAAGAAAAAGAAAAGCACACATATCAGAAAAAAAAAAAGAGTCCCAGTGTAGTAGTACATGCCTGTAATCTCAGCACTCAGGGAGCCTGAGGCAGAGAGAGCACTGTGAGTTCGAGGACAGCCTGGGCCATGTAGTGAGTTCAAGGCTGATGTGAGCTACCTAGTGAGACCCTGTTTAAAAACCAACAACATAATCAAAACAAAGCAGAATAGAATGGCCAGCCAAATGACTCAGTGGATTAAAGCGCCTGTAAGCAAGTGCAGGGGCCAGGGGTTCGATCCCCAGGTCTGCTGTGCTGGCCCCACCCCTGGGGCGTGCCGAGAGGGCGATTGAGACTGGGCATGGTGGCATGGGCACCTGTAAGCCCAGCTCTTGGGAGGCTGTAAACAGGTGGATCACCACGAGTCCTATCTAGTAGTGAGACCCTGAACACCCTGTAGACCCTTCCCTAAAATACAAAACAAAACAAAACCCCACAGAATAGAACTAAATGAAAAAAGAGATAAAACTGTTCAAGGTGGTGGTGCATTCCATAGTGAGGACCTGCCTTGAGAAAAAACAAATAAAACACTGTTCAGAGATGACAAGGTTGGGCAGGCCAGGTAGCTCAGCAGACTAAATAAAGAGCCTGTTTAGGCAGACACAGGGGCTGGCCTTGGATCCCCCGTGCCAGCCCCACCCCTGGGGCATGCTGAGATGGCAACTGAGGCTGGGCGTGGTGGTGCACACCTGTAACCCCAGGGCTTGGGCAGCTGAAAACAGGAGGATCACTACAAGTCTGGTCTGTGTGAAACCTTGTAGACCCTGTACTCAATACATTAAAAACTGTCAGAGATGACAAGGATATCTTTTGAACACAGATCAGGTATGATCAAATTACAGGCCAATGATTAAATTTTTTAAAACATATGTTCCTCTAGAACTCTACTCACTTTTTTTTTTTTTTTTTTTTTGGCAGAACCGAGGATTGAACTCAGGCCTTTGCGCTTGCCAGGGAAGCGCTTATTCCACTGAGCCATCTGCTCAGCCCCACTTCCTCACTTTCAATGCCCTTACTCCAGCATTCCTGCTGCTTTCTGAAGCAGTTCTGAAAGTCTTCTTAATGTCCATAGATGTGAGGAAAAAATACAGTGACTGCCACCGGCTACCACCCACTGGAAAGGCAGGCTGGTGTAGACATCACCCTTCATACCCACTGTGTTCACAGGAACTGGCACCACGGAATTTCTGGCTCTTCCCCAAAATTGAAATGACCACGAATGGTCAACTTTTGAATTGATTCAGGACATGGAGGCAGCCAGCACAGCACAATGAAAGATGCTCAGGAAAGACGACTTCTAGAACCGCTTCAGAAAGCTTGAGAATGATGGACTAAGTCCCCTTTTCCTGAGTGTCTCCTTCAGCCTGACCACAACCCGATATACTTTATCTTGCTGAGGCCCATCTCCCCTGACTAGAAGAGAAGGCAGATGAGGGCAGGACTTTTGATTATTATTATTATTTTTTAATGTTTTGTTCACTGCCATATCCCCAGCACCAAGAAAACGCCCGGGCGCTGAGTAGGTGGTCAATAATTACATTCAGAAGGAATTAATTGGGGCAATAATGAGAGAGATGACAGGGTGGGAGAGGGCTGCTTAGCTCTCCTGAGTAGCTAGTGACAGGTAAATCAACCCAGAAGCCACCAACCCACTCACCTCGTGTGCATATGCCTTGCCAATGCCGCTGGTGGCTCCTGTCACCACTAGGAGAGAGAAGAAGGAGGGCAGGCAGGGCAGCTCAGTGCATCTGAGGTCCCCTGGTGTGGGTGCCTCTGCTCCCAGCAGAGCCAGCCGCCTTGCTGTTGGCTGGTATCCGCACACAGACCCTACCACTGGGGTCACTGGCGTGCAGCAGGGGTACACTCAGCATGTCCCACTTGGACTGCATTGCGGCTGCCGCCCTGCAGCCTTGGATCACAGACTAGGAATACCGGCTGCCACAGGTCAGCCAGTGCTTAGGTACTCCGGACTCCCAGGTCCCATGTGAAAGCGGTGCCTTGCACACCCGTGACCAGAGGCATCCTCCCACTTGTCCTGTCCGTCACCTGGCACCGCTCTACCACCTGCTCCTTTCACCCACAAAGCTTTGAAGATTTTGTGCCTCCTTTACCCAGGTCGCACCAGCCTTTTCTTGCTTCCAAGAGTAGTCCCTTGGCCGCTGTCTTGATTGGGTGAGGTGTGTCTCACCAGTCACCTGCCACCTGTCCTCGACCCTGCAGCCTCACCCGTGCCACCTCGGGTGGACGCCAGCACCTTACCTGCCCATGCTCCCTGGGCCCGGAGCCAAGCATTGCCCCGGCGGACCTGGGGCAGCAGGTACACGTACACTGTGCGGGCCACTCCCCATGTCACCTGCAGTAGCAGCCAGGCGGCCGTGAGGGCCCCCAGGATGCTCAGCATGTCCCACTTGGACTGCATTGCGGCTGCCGCCCTGCAGCCTTGGATCACAGACTAGGAATACCGGCTGCCACAGGTCAGCCAGTGCTTAGGTACTCAGGACTCCCAGGCCCCAGCAGCCGGCCACGCCCTGACCACGCCCCTACCCGGCCCTAGCTCCACCCCCGGCGTGGTGGGCTAAGTGCGGAAATTCAGAGTTTGGGGTTTATTTTTAGTTTCTGTGGAACTTGGTTTATGTTTGCAATTTCTTATCTGCCGCGTGCTCCCGATTTGTTGTTTTTAATGTGGGGTCTTGTTTTGAGACGGGATTTCACTGTGTAGTTCAGGGTGGCTGTTTTAGTTATTTCTCTTATTGCTGAGACAAAATCCCCAACACCCAAAGTCAAAGGAGGAAAAGGTTTATTTGGTGCACAGTTGATAGCGGGTTCAGCACAAAACCTGCCGGCTCCAAGGCAGGTGGCATGGCAGAGGGGCACCAGGCGGAAGAAATAGTCCATGGCAGGCGGAAAACCGCCAAAGACAAGCGACAGCAGCAATAAACCAAAAGAGACAACTGCCTCTGTCTGACTCATATTTTATCCAGGCTACCTGCCTTTGGAGCAAGTAACACTCACACCCAAGGCGGGGTCCCCTTAATCCTACCCAGGACTTTGCCAAGCCAAATGATCCCAGCATTGCACGCTCTAAATCCAGCGACCTCTGAAAAGCCCCACCTGGGAGGGCATGAAGCTTTAGTGGGGCACCTAGACACAAACCACAGCCCTGACCTTGAACTCACTATGCAGCCCGGGCTGACCTCAAACTCAGCCCCCCAAGAGCTGGAATTGCAGATATACACCTGTAACCACATAAACACGGCAGCCAGAGCTTTGCTTGCTTTTTCTTTTTCCTTTCTTTCTTTTTTCTTTTTTTTTTTTCTTTTTTTTTTGGTTTGTTTGTTTCTTTGTTTTGTTTTTGGTGCCGAGGACCGAACCCAGGGCTTCCAGCCAAGCATTCTATGGCTGAGCCAAATCCCCAGCCCTGATCTTTGCTTTCTTACACCATCCTTTGGAAAGGCCTTTGAGTCATGAAGGCCACCCCTCTGCACCCACAGTAGGGAGACCTCTTGTGCTCAGAGTTAAAATTCATTCTGAGGTCTGTAAAGTTACTTTGTGTCTTTCCATCAGGTTTATCGTACTGAGCAGCTAGTGCAGTGAAAAGATCTTATTTGTTTATGGTCAAAGCCTTAGATTGTTTTTCATCCTGGGCAATTTATTAAGATCCTATGTCAAAATAAAGTTTTAAAAGACGGAGGATATAGCTCAGTATTCAATATAGTTCAGTACTCACTGTTTAACCCTAGTACTACAAAAATAAATAAGAAAGAAGGGGGACTTGAAATCCCAAAGGAGAGACAAGCAACCCAGAAACCAATAATGTTTATCTGGCAAGCTACTGTTTTTTCCCATAATTTTATCGAGAAACAAATAGCAATGACAGTTTCAAACCAAATTGGTAGGACAGTTTCAATAATTAACACACTGCATACATTCTTCCTAGTGGTTAATTGCTGTTCAAGATGCAGACATGATATCCTATTTACAAACACTATTAGAAAAAAATCCCTGTATTTATTGAATTAAGAGAAGGTAGCTATATATCTATCCTAACCATTTTGAATACACAGATACAAATTGATATTCATCTGTATCCCCTTTTTTTTATTAAGTTCCGTTATTTGATTATAGGTGTGTTAACTCAGCAAAATATTCTAAAAGAGTCCAGTAAGTCCATAATAGTATTGGGTCTTCTGTTTTACTGGCAGTGTCAGAAGTTGACCTGAGTCCCCTACAGCTCAACATAACAGCATGGCTTTACTTCTTCTTTTTTTTTAATTTTTTATTTATTTATTTATGTGTGTGTGTGTGTGTGTGTGTGTGTGTGGCCAGCTCAGCCCACCAGGGGGCGGGGCTGGCTGGCATGTGGTGCTGGGGGATTGAACCGCAGTCCCTGTGCTCTGCGAAGCTTGTTCTAAGTAGGTGCTTTAGGCCACTGAGCCATCTCACCAGCCCCAGGCTTTACTTCTTATACTTCATTTTTATACTTTTCTGCTGGATGGTTAAGACCAAGGTAAAGCCAGATCTATGCAACAAGAGTTGTAGCTTTTGGGTCTGATAAAGTCAGTGAAATCCCCTCAGGATTTATCCTGAGATTCTGTACCTCAGATTGTAGATCCTTTGTCAGTGTCAGCCATGTGGATGAGTCACAGCCATTGCTTGGCCAATGTGCTCTCTGTGAAAGCCTGAGAGAATGTTTTCTCTCCATGTGACTCTCCTTAGGCACACTCTACATCATCGATCACTTTCCTCTTTGGCCCCATAATCTTCTTGATCAGAAAATTTGGGACACTACTGAGTTACATGACATTACAGTACAAGTTCTCATATGTCCTGAGTCTTAATTGACCTTGGAAAGCTAGGGCCAAAATGTTGGCTTTCCTTGCAGCCCTTCTTTTTCTCTAATTTTGGTCTGCAGATTTAAGTTGTTAATCCTCCAGAAGTGGCAAGCTACTTTTAAAAGGAGCAATCCAGAATCTCACTACACAGACAGACTTGTAGTGATCCTCCTGTTTTCAGCCTCCCTGGCATCCTGGGATTGCAGGTGTGTGTCACCACACCCGGACTCAGTGGCCTGCTCAGCATGCCCAGGGGTGGGGCCAGTGTAGCATGCAGTACTGGGGATCAAACCCTGGTGTCTGCACTTGCCTAAGCAGGCACTTAGTCCACTGAGCTATCTCACCAGCCCTCCAATAATATTTCGTTGTGGCCATCCAGGAGAATCAAAAGCAAGGAGATTCTGATAATAAAATGGGAGTTTAGGGAGATGTCAGCAGGAGTGTCTGAGATTTGTCATTCAGATGTTCAAAGAAGTTGAGGAAGAAAAGAAGGAGGGAAGTGAGTCCTTGGGAAGCCATCGAGGATCTGAAGGGAGAACTGAAGCTCACAGGGAGAGTGAAGAGCAAGACCTCAGTGAAAAATTAGAGATGGAAAGTGGCGCTTTCTCCCAGAGCCCTGACTCTTTCTGTGGGAGGGACAGCTCAAAACTGCAAACATGTGGAGTGGTCCCCCAAGGGCTCCTGGGGGAAACACACCAGCTGAGCAGAGCAACGGATGCAGAAAACTATAGTGGTTGGTGAGTCATTTGAGTCTAGATGTCCATAAAAGGGGCTGGTGAGATGGCTCACCAGCTGAGCAGAGCAACGGATGCAGAAAACTATAGTGGTTGGTGAGTCATTTGAGTCTAGATGTCCATAAAAGGGGCTGGTGAGATGGCTCAGTGGTCTAAAGCACCTACTTAGAAGAAGCTAAGCTAAGCAAAACACAGAGACCACGGTTCAATCCCCCAGCACCACAGGCCAGCCAGCCCCGCCCCCTGGTGGGCTGAACTGGCCACACACACACACAAAACAAATAAATAAATAAATATTAAAAAAAAAAAGATGTCCATAGAAGAGGGCAACTGGCCTGCAGCCATCCTGGGGAGAGGACACCCAAGCTTGGCACTTGGAGCAGCTGCGGGCTGGCTCCATCTCACAGCTCCCCGTGTCAGGGGGAGGTGGAACAGAGGTTGGCAGGAGGCCAAGGAGCTGAGTTCAGGCCAG